TCCCTGCCTCCCTAACCTGTTCTTCCTCCCACCTATCCCCTCCTCCCACCTCAAGCCGCACCTCCATCTCCTACCGACCAACCTCATCCCGCCCCCTTGACCTGTCCGTCCTCCCTGGACTGACCTATCCCCTTCCTAACTCCCTACCTACACTCACCTTTCCTGGCCCCATCCCCGCCTCTTCGACCTGTTTGTTTCCTCTCCACCTATCCTCTCCTCTATCCCTCTTCTATCCGCCTCCCACTCTCTCCCTATTTATTTCAAAACCCCCTTCCCCTCCCCCTTTTCTGATGAAGGGTCTAGGCCCGAAACGTCAGCCTCTCTGCTCCTATGATGCTGCTTGGCCTGCTGTGTTCATCCAGCCCTGCACCTTGTTGTCTCGGATTCTCCAGCATCTGCAGTTCCTACTATCTCCTATTCCTTGTTGCTCCCCCTTTTGGATGGTTTCCTGTACCATGGTGGAATGGTCAGTTTGGGTCCCCTCACAGTCACACTCTCCTATTCCTGACCACTGACCAACAATAAATGCTTTTCTTTAGGTTTAACGGCTCTGAGAAGTGATGAAGTTATCGATCTGATGATCAAGGAATACCCGACCAAATATGCTGAATATGCTGTGGTTCTGCAGGACAGAGAGCGGCAGCAGATCACTGATCGCTACAAGGAATACTCGGTCAGTACTGGGGGAGTGGACTTACAGTACGTTTTGATGTATAAAGTACTAACTTCTTTCACTGCACCGCCTGCAACTTCTGCAAATTGAAAGCTGTGATATGGCATTTGGTTCATTGTTTTGTGCTAAAAAATAAACATAGACAGACTATGTTGTCTGCTGCTGTCTTCTCTCTACTTCTACCTCCAGTCTGTGAAATGCTGCCCTTTTTAAATATCATATACTTTCAATATGTCGCTCAGTTGAGCTAAATTTCACACACCATCTTGTTCCATGGTATTCTCAATCACAACAGTGAATGGTAGTTCTACTAGTAATTGCTAGTACTAATAGTAATTGTCTTCTAACTGTCTTATCTTTTGAACTCTGTCTTTAGAAAAGTTTAAAAAAGCAGTGTAAATCTGATGTCTCTTAAGTAGAAAATTGAAGTTTTTTTGGACTTTATTTTCCAGAAACCATATTGCATAGGAGGAAATTAAATCTTTTTAAAAAATCAGATTAAACACTACCATTTTTATGCCTCCATGAGAAATTGAAGGTTTATTGAGCCATGGAAAAGTAATATATTGGCATATAGGATCATACAGCAAGCACAGGGCATTCAATATTTCATGTCTCTGCAGGGGGACAGAGTTATTCAGTTATCCCCACTCCCCTGCCTTTACCTCATAGCTTTGAAGGTGTTCCCTTTTCAAGTATAGATCCAATTCCCTTTTGAAAGTTGATATGATTTTCCAATTATGTTTATGATCCACAATTGTCTAGGAGTTGCCTAATCTCAAGTTTCAATCTGACATGATCAACTTGAATGTCTAAATTTGTGCATTTTGGATCTGATTTTGCTCTTCCTTTTCTTAAATTCCTTAAATTTTGAATTGTTTTGGACTATATTGAATTGGACTCTAAAACTACCCAAACTCACCCCACTTAAGAGTATTTGTACAATGCATCATTCAAGGCCACCTTTCCCTTATCATACTTTAGCCTCTTTACTTTTTAAAAAAACAATTTTTTGCAATAGTCTGTGAAAATGCATGAAGTTGAAAGATTATGACATTTCTTAATAATTTCCATAGTGAGTCTCTGCAGCACAGTTTCAAATATTAGTGCTCAACATAACTAATTTATGATTTTTCTTTTGTGCAGCAAATGCAGTTGCAAAACACGCAGAAGGTTGAGCCCAGTAAAGTTCCAGAATATATCAAGAAAGCTGCAAAGAAAGCTGCGGAGTTCAACAGTAATTTCAACAGGGAACGGATGGAGGAAAGGCGAGCTTACTTTGATTTGCAGACACAGGTAAGATGGATGCCACATTGGTCCTAGTCTGAGGTAGCTTCAAGCACAAAGTGGAATCCTGAAACGCAAAAGCAGGCAAGCAACCAACTATCGAACCTGATAATAACTTGCATTTCTAAAGAAACAAGTCCCTAGGTGCCAATCTCAATCAGCAGCTACCTTAACTTTGATATTAGCCATACTAATTGGATAATAACACATTAAAATAAAAACAAAGTACTGCAGATGATGGACGTCTAAAACACAAACAGAAAGTGCTGGAAGAATTTAGCAGGTCTGGCATCATTTGCAGCGAGAGAAACAGTTAACATTTCAGAACTCTGAAGAAGTCATATTCAATTCAATGTTAACCTTACCTATCTCTCCATAGATAATGCCAGATTGCTGAGTTCGTCCAGCACTTTATATTTTGAAAATTAATATGTTGCTGACATGATACTGTAATATATTTCGGGAACATTCTGCCCATTGCCAGAGTGGAGTAGAAAATAAAATTCCAGCATGAGTGCAAACTTGTAATATTTTGTGTTTCGCGTTGATACTATTTCATTCAATATAATAGTATATAATCTACAGAAGCAGGGAGGTAGTTTTAGGCTGATTATTGTCTTAAGCAGCTACATGGGAACCTCACCACTTGTAAGGTTCCCTCTAAGCTCGCCACCATCCTGACTTGGAATTATATTGCTGTTCCTTCTGTGAAGCTGGATTAGAGTCCTGGAACGCCCTCCCTAATAGTATTGTGGGTCTACCTACACCAAATGGACTACGGCATTCAAGAAGGCAGCTCAAGGCAATTAAGGTTGGGCAGTAAATGTTGGCCCAGTCAGCAATACCTATATCCCATGAATGAATTTTAAAAAAGACTATTCTCAAGCAAGCCTCAAAGCTGTGGCTAGTATGTGAGTCTTATAAAATATTTATAGTAGGGCCTTATTCTTTGTTGCAGGGTCCATGCTATTTTGTGGACAAATGGGAGAGGCATGATCTGCTGTATGGGTGGTGCAGGTTGGTTGATCTGTCTGGTAGCCATTGAAAAGTCAGCAAATAACAACTGCAGACACTTTTTGTAATCTTTGACATCAGGAGGAGGTCCATTGCTGAGTACATTGTAGACCCTAACCCTCTCCTCTCTGCACAGATGGGTCTCCTCCTCCTCCTGATGCAAGGTCCATTTGAAAATTACACCCTGCACTTTTGAATATCCAAAAAACTTATTTTTAGTCAACGTTTTCTTTTCAAAATTTGGTATTTTTTGATTCACACATTCTATTCAGAATTGTGAAAATTTTGTGGAAGAAGAAAATCTGTTCAGAAATCTTTTTTTCTTTTGCTGATGTTCTGTGCTTATTGTGTTTTTTTTCCCGTTTTGAGAATAGAATAATTTCAAAGTCAATCAGATGGTGCCAGAATCTAGCGTTCACAGTGTGGGTTCAGTATGTCTGAAATGTGAGGCAGAATCCTCCCTCTGAAAGAGATATTTAAATAGCATTTTGATGCACAGCTCAAAAGCATTTTGGTTCTTGCCCTTTAGTGAACCACCATTTTGAAGCCTGCAATTACTGCGCCAAATTTGGCAGCATTTTTTTTTTGACGTGTGAAAATGCCTCTTTTGTTTTGCAAACCTGAGTAACACAGGGTAAGGAATCCGTATTTATGCTGTATTTAATTTCTTTTTCTATTGTTTTTCTCAATACAGGTAATCCAGGTGCCACAGGGGAAATACAAAGTTGTTCCACCAGAGAGGACAAAAGTTGGGGCTTATCCAGTTGCTCTCATACCAGGCCAATTTCAGGAATATTACAAAAGGTGAACAAAATCCTGTTTTTTTTTATTAACTAAGAACAACCTTGTGTTAAAGAGTTTATTGCATAAAAAGTGCAAGTTGGATCAAAGGGTCTGTTTCCGTGCTGTACAGCCCTATGATTCTATAATTGCACAGTGAAGTGTAGAAACAAAAGTGCAACTTTAAATAAACTTTTTCTTGCCTGTATTTTTTTTTTAACAACTAAATATTTAACTGATATCTGCATTTGATGAGAATTTCTTCAAGTTTGTCTTGGGAAAAATGACAATGAATTTTTTCTGAATGGCAGTTGCTATTGATATGTAGGCAATTTGCATTCAGTAAGGCCTCAAGTAAGAAATGAAATGAATGACTAGTTAATCTGTTTTGCTTGAAGAGTAAACATCAATGAAGAATAAATTTGTCCATCATCCAGTGAAGTTAGAATAAGTCAATAAGATGTAATGGTAAATTGAATAAAGTATCACTTGAATAGTTTTGTTAGTGGTACTTTTGTGAATGGTGTGGCATTGTCTTGCCATGTATATATAAAAATAAAGAGTTTTTTTTTACTTAATTAGCATCAGCATGGTTTAACACTGCCTCAGGACTTCCCAAAGAGATTTGCAGCCAGTGAAGTACTTTCGAAGCTCAGTGAATATTCTAATATAGGAATTATAATCTATTGTCTGCACAATGCAAAAATCTCCAAGCACTTCACGTTGGAATTGCTGAACTCAGGGGAGAGATTATGAGGTGTGACCAAACAAGGAGCTGTGAGGTTTCCTGAGAATGAAACTAAAAGTTGTGATACTTAAGGAAAACCAGGTACCCACAAAAAAATGCATTAAGATGGAAAGAACCTTTCGCTTTTATACTGTCAATCAGTCCACATGCCTTTATTCCTAGGTAGGTCTTCTAGAGGTGGAGTTTAACCAGCATTCTCAGCACTAATGAGGAAATGGATAAGCTTTCTCTGTAGCAGTGTCGATACAGCAGTATTCTCTGGGAGAGATGAGTAAGTTGGATGTTGGAGTTAGAATGGAAAGGGGACAGAAGAGAGAAAGCTTGCAATCATCATACTAAGGTGTGACTCAGAAATCTGGGCTAGAATATTTGAAGAGAATGTGTTCCCTGGTTTTTCAAGGTCTTCAGAAAGGCGAAGGAACTGAGATCCTCATTGTACAGTACAGTTTGGACTAGTGCTGAGGAACACATGAGATTTCTGTTCAAGAGAGGTCTTCTGGAGATTTGCAGAATTTGCAAAATTAGTTCGGTTTGATTTATAGGACAAACTAACATTTCGTAAGCTGAGATTTAAAGCAAAAATGAATGCAAAAATTTGGATGTCAATTTGAATTGCAACGGATTAATTGTCTACCTAGGTACTCTCCCAATGAGTTGCGTTACCTACCTGTAAACACAGCCTTGTATGAGCCACCTCTGGACCCAGAATTGCCAGCACCCGACAGTGATGGAGATTCTGATGATGCAGAAGACGGGCATGCTGAGGATGAACGAAAGGAAGACAAAGGCTTTTCAGTAAGAAACTAATCAAAAAACCTGACTATATTTAAAACTTTACCTCTGTAAATTTTTAAAAAGCCCAGTCTATTCTGCACTAAAGTGTATTTTGTGTAAAAGATTTAACAAAATGTCCGAATCGAAAACAACTCCATTCTAGTCCAATACAGTCTACTTCTGCTAAGTGTGTAGCAAATAAGCGTGTACTTTGGCTAAGTGTATAGAATAATGCATTTACTACTGGTATCTAAATATTAGGAATAATTTATATTATTACATCTGCACACAACTTCTAGCAGCCGGTGATGTGACGTCAGAACCTCGCACGGTAACGCTGCGAACGAGGTTCTTGCTACAGTTAATGGCAGCGGCCTAGTAAGTGGAAAACTTGAATTTTAAACCCATTATTAATGTTCAGAGTTTATTTCGTGCTAGTGCTCAGATAGTAGAGGTGTTTTGTCATCTATTCAACATTTATTATTTGAAGCTATGCCTCCCCCCTTTTGTTTGGAAAAGGAATTTATTCACCAATTTTAATCCCACTTCATAACCACCTTTAGTGTCTTTAGAGAAGGAGTTCTTATACAACTTAGCTTAATTTAGCTAAGTTGAGTCAGTTGTAATGTTAAAGGTGGTAAATTATTCTGCCAATTTTGGTACTTTTTTTTATGAAAATCATAAGTCAATCAGGTATCGCTATCCTTTGGAAAGTTTCCACACTGGTGTTCAGCTATGTATTTGCCTATGGTGCTCATCTAAAACACTTAATTTCATGTTCTTGAACTTCCAGGAACATGAAAAGCATGGCTCCTTTTTGAAAACAATCATTTTGTCCTGCCTGGAATCTTCAATTCCTGAGTACACACTTGTGTTTTTTTAATGTTATGAAATCTCTGGGCATCCTGGGAGCTACCAGGGTGTCTGCCCATATGATTTTAAGTAGTAACATAGCAATACTTGTGAATACATACTTGCCAAATAATTTTTTTTTTTGCTTTGCAAAATGCATATAAGGATCTAGAAATCACTACTTCATGTTATGAAGTACATATTATCACTCCTTTCTATGTATTAAAACTGCATCAATAGATAGTTGACTTTTTTTCTCTCTGACTTTTACATAGTGAACTAATTGCTATGGACCTGTGGGTTCCATTTGGAACTTCCCAATTCAGCCAATTTTAACTTTCGTTCCAATTCAGTTCAATATTCATGCTACTTTAGTGTAAATATTAACAGTAATTTGTCAGAGGATTGGGTATTTAGTTGAAATTTCATTGCTTTCAGTTGCTGACTGCATGGAGAAAACAGGCATCTGTCACTCAGCCTGTTTCACCACTGTTCATTTTAATTGCTTATCTGAATCTTAATTCCATGCAGCCATCTTGGTTCTGTAATCCTAATGTCTAACAAAAATCTGTTAATCTCTGTTTTGAAATTTTCAATTGACTTCCAGCCTCAAAACTTTTGAATTCCAAATTTCCTCCACCTTTGTTTGACGGAATGCTTCCTAACATCACCCCTGAATGACGTAGCTCTAATTTTAAGGAAATGTCCCTTTGTTGTGGACATTTGGAAGAGTTTTGCTGTTCCTTGAGGTTTTGTTTGTTATTTTTTAGTGTACTTTCTGGCAGTGAAATCACCTTCAGTAAGTTCTATGCCAGTAGATTTCCGGTTTCTAAAGACATTTCCACACTTGTCTGTGTTTCTCTTAGCATATTGTATTGCTTTTGAATGATTTTTCCTGAATCACCTTTCAACTCATGGTGGCGTTTTTGTATTTTTGTTACTTTCAGTTCATTTGAGTACAATTGTGTTAAATCCTGTCAGACTGTGGTTCCCAACGGATTATTGTTTCACTTTTGTTTCAGGATACCTCTTCTGGGAGCACAACAGATGGTGAAAGCCCTATTGAACATCAAGATGATTCCTCACAGGGAAAGCAGACACCAAAAGAAAAAGGAACACGGCCATGGAAAGATGCAAAACGAAGTGTGACACCCAAATCAGTTACTGGGTACAAGGTAGAAGATAAAAGCCCCTGAGACTTCATTTCTGATGAACCTCTCCCTCATTTTTTTTGTTGTACTGGGTAGAATTGGTCAGCCTGTACTAGCCACAGTCCACTAATGCATCTCCTGCTATTTCTCGCCTCTGCTTCCTTACCTTACCCTGTTTTATTTCATCTGACACTCACTGGTGAAGTTATCTGAATTCTTTTTTATCTACTGGAACGGAATTAGGCTTGTATCTTGTTCCCCTGGGGCTTGCTATTCTCCGCTAAAGCTACTGCTCTCTTTTTATACACATCTGTACTACATGTCACACTTAATTACTAACTTTATTATTGTTCGATTCTGCTGATTCTATTGCTAAAGACCATACTTTATATAAAAAGTCAAAGTTGTATTTTTGACTATTTTTGAAATGCTTTTGTGTTTTGATTTATATTTCCATGCAGCCTGGTATGTTTACATTTTTTTCTAGTTTCAACATCTACCATCAGATGTTTTAGTCCAGTGATGTGTTTTATGCACGTAATGTTCAATAGAACAACTGGCTTCAGAATGTCCTTGGACTACTGGAGTCTTCAGAATTTAAAGATTCCGGTTGTCTGGTACTTGGAACAACACTACTACAAGTGATTTACTATAATATCCAATGAGCATTAACTGAAACTTGGCAAATGTCTATCTCTGGCCAAACAATAACTGTTTTAGCACTCAGTTTTACCTCTTAACCAAAAAAATGTGTTCTACTAAATTATAAATATATATATTTTATGTTCAATTTCTGCCCAGCAATGACCTGGTTTAGGAGAAGAGTAGCTTGTCATTGTTATTAGCTCCTTTATAGATGAAGTATTAATTACATCTGAGGTTTAACTATTGTTGCCCCAGGTGAGTCTCAGCCTATGTGAGGGCTTGAGAGTAAATCTCATTCATTTGTTTACTTCTCTTATTTTCACGCCAGCCTTAGAATAAAAAATTAGGATGAAGTGTGAGCTTTACTGGAGTTTAGAGTTTGTGATTTATTCTTATTAGTCAGTAGGAGGGAGAATACTTATTCCTTAGACCTTGAAGATTTTTAAAAACGAAGTTATTACAGAATTTTTATTTAGTATCAGCTTTCAAGGCTGCTTCATTGCATTTTGTTCCATTTACGTGCACATTTAACAGAAAGTGTATCAAGGCTTATAAACAAAATGGAGGCCTGGAAGCAGCTATCCCCATTGTGGGGTTCTGATGCTCTTCTAGTTTGCAAACATCATCTACAGCCCAGGCTGGAATTACCCCTCGGAAATAGATTCAGTGTAGTTTCTTTTGGTGATGTCAAAATGAACATCAGTGATTTGTGAAGAAAGGTTAACAAATTAATCACTGACAATTACTGAGTAATAATTGACAGTGAATTATCAAGAAGCAAAATATTACACAAGTTCTGGTAACATGACTCAATTTTGGAAGAAAAAAGTACTCAATTTGGCAATGCTTATTCAGGCTAGATGAAATACTTTTTCCTGTATCGTAACAGACCTGCTGAGTATTACATGCCATCCAGGAGGTCCCAAGTTTGATCACTTGGCTATGTTGAGTTAGCTAACCTTAACAGGGCCTATTGTAGGGGTGATAGTTCCTAGGATTGGTCTCAACTGTACAGGCCAAGAAGGGGAATGTCAGCCATAGGATTCTACCTCCTGATCCTTAGGACAACAGCTGTGGCCTGTGAAGGTCATATCTATCGCTGGCAATTAATTCAATTACCAAATTGCCTATGAATGCAGAGTGAGTCAATGTTTTCAAGTGGGAAGAGAAGATTTGTAGGGAAAACTTCAGATATTTGGCTGCATTTGTGCTAAAATACAAACAAAATGATCCTGTTTGCATTTGACACAACAATTGAGCAGCATCCCTGCTTTCCTGGGAAGAGCAGCAAAATTTGGTTACTACATTTCTTTTAAATATGATCAGTGTATTCTTGGGAGAATTATTTTCACTGAGCAGTTAAGGTGACCTCATTTATTAAGTTTGTGAATGTGTTTTTTTTATTAAGTTCACTGTGAATTAGTATTTTAGTGCTCTATCCTTTTTGCAAGATTTAATGAAAAATAATCTTGATGCTTTTATTTGAGGTAACAAGGTGTAGAGCTGGATGAACACAGCGGGCCAAGCAGCATCAGAGGAGCAGGAAGGCTGACGTTTCGGGCCTAGACCCTTCATCAGAAAGGGTCT